GTTTGATCGCCTTGCGGTCCAAGGGACTCACAGGAGTCTCCTCCAGCACCACAATTCAAAGGCCTCAATCCTTCGGCGCTCAGCCTTCCTTATGGTTCAGCTTTCACAGCCATACCTTGCAACTGGGAAAACAATAGCCTTGACTATATGCACTTTTGTTGGCAGGGTGATGTCTCTGCTTTTTAGTATGCTGTCTAGATTTGCCATAGCTTTCCTCCCCAGGAGCAAGCATCTTTTAATTTCTTGGCTGCAGTCCCCATCTGTGGTGATCTTGGAGCCCAGGAAAATAACATCTGTCACTACCTCCATTTCTTCCCCATCTCTTTGCCCAGAAGTGAGAGGACCGAATGCCATGATCTTAGTTTTCTTAATGTTGAGTTTCAAGCCAACTTTTGCGCTCTCCTCCTTCACCCGCATCAAGAGGCTCTTTAGTTCCTCTTCACTTTCTGCCATGAGAGTGGTATCATCTGCATATCTGAGGTTGTTGATATTTCTTCCAGCAATCTTAATTCCAACAGGTGATTCATCTAGGCCTGCCTTTCTCATGATGTGCTCTGCATATTAGTTAAATAGGCAGGGTGACAGTATACAGCCTTGCCAAACTCCTTTCTCAGTTTTGAACCAATCAGTGGTTCCGTGTCCGGTTCTCACTGATGCTTCTTGACCCACATATAGGTTTTTCAAATAAGATGAGAAGAGACAAATAAGATGGTCTGGTACTCCCATCTCTTTAAGAACTTGCCACAGATTGTTGTGATCCACACAATCAAAGGCTTTAGCATAGTCAATGAAGCAGAAGTAGATGTTTTTCTGGAACTCCCTAGCTTTCTCCATGATCCAGCGTAAGTTGGCAATTTGATCTCTAGTTCCTCTCCCTCTTCGAAATCCTGCCTGTACTTCTGGTAGTTCCTGGTCCACATACTGCAGGAGCCTAGCTTGTAGGATTTTGAGCATAACTTTGCTAGCATGTGAAATGAGTGCAGTGGTGTGGTAGTCTGAACATTCTTTGGCATTGCCCTTCTTTGGGATTGGAATGTAAACTGACCTTTTCCAATCCTGTGGCCACTGCTGAGTTTTCCAAATTTGCTGGCATATTGAGTGTAGCACTTTTACTGCATCGTCTTTTAAGATTTTGAATAGCTCAGCTGGAATACTGTTGCCTCCACTAGCTTTGTTGTTGCTCAGACTTCCTAAGGCCCATTTGACTTCACATTCCAGGATGTCTGGCTCGAGGTCAGTGACCACCCCATCATGGTTATCAGGGATGTTAAGCTCTTTCTTGTATAGTTCTTCTGTGTAATCTTGCCACCTCTTCTTAATCTCTTCTGCCTCTGTTAGGTCCCTGCCATTTTGGTCCTTTATCATGCCCATCTTTGCATGAAACATTCCCTTCATATCTCCAATTTTCTTGAAGAGATATGATTCTCTTCTGGTTCTCCCTATTCTGTTGTTCTCTTATATTTCTTTGCACTGTTCATTTAAGAAGGCATTCTTATCTCTTCTAACTATTCTCTGGAATTCTGCATTCAATTGGGTGTATCTTTCCTTTTCTCCCTTGCCTTTCGCTTCCCTTCTTTCCTCAGCTATTTGTAAAGCTTCCTCAGACAGCCATTTTGCTTTCTTACATTTCTTTTTCTTTGGGATGGTTTTAGTTGCTACCTCTTGTAAGATAGCTGTCTACATGTTCTCCCTTCTTTCCTTCCTTGTAACATTTATAACTTGGTATGACCTAAGGTGGCATCTTCCTCCTTTCCACATTTTCCTCACAACAATCCTGCAAGGTAGGTTAGGCTGAGAGTCAGTGACTGGCCTAAGTCACCCAATGAACTTGATGACTGAGTGGGGTCTAGAAGCCAGTTTTCCTAGGATCCAGTCCACTTCTAAGTCCCAACAGTCTTACCACCTGTCAAAAATCGGCACAAGCCAAAGTGCAAATACGATGACAGAGTTGAATTCATGTTCTCTCCAAGTGCAGAAATGAGAGCCTAAGGTCACAGGTTTGAGCCCGTTTCCATGCTATATACTAGACAAACACAGGGCACTGAGGTGGAGGACCAGGGCAAGTCAGTGGAAAATTATTAATCAGAAACAAGGCCTCTGCTGTCCTTAGTTACTCCAGGAAAAAAAATCACAGCAGAGTTCCTAGGGAGAATGTGTAGTTGCTCACTAAACAACATAAAGCTGTTAACAGAACAAAAGAAGGAATTGCCCAACCTAAAGAAATAGAGAATAAATGTTTGCATAATGTACAGTATATGCTAATGTATATGTGTGCATTTAGAATTTCCCCAATTTAAATGGAAATATAATATTGAGGCAAAGAGAAAGCTGGGTGTGAAAGGGGACAGTGAAAAAAGCTGACAGGAAGAAAGTTGATACTTTGAAACATGGTACTGAAGAAGAGCTTTGCATATATGCTGTGGAGTGACAAGAGATAAAGAAGTAGGTCCTAGATCAAATCAAGGCAGAGCTTTTCTTGGAACAAAAAATGACGAAACTGAACTGGCGCACTTTGGGCACATCATGAGAAGGCAAGACTTGTCGGAGAAGACAGTCATGTCAGGGAAAGTTGAAGGCAGAAGAAGAAAAGAAAGACCATCTATGGGATGGGTCAGTTCCATAAAGGATGTTGCAGCCTGGAGTTTGGAGCCAAGGGTTTGGGTGACACAGCAAATGCACTCCGTGAGGGTAATTAGACAAACTGCCCACCCTGACACAGGGTGGGAAAAGAGGCTTCTTCTGGTGATAAAGCAAATCCTTTCCAACATTTGTGCGCATTTTTCCAGAGGCACTCCCTTTCCACAGGATGAATCCCAAAAGAAAAGTGATGCTGATTTCACTAGTGTCCTGTAGTGGGATCATACTGTAGTCCTTTGCTGCGTCTGCATTTACAAATTGATAAAATATTGATCACTTGGCTAATCATATAGAGCTGCTTCATATAGGGCTGCTTCCTTCGCTAAACAATCTGGAGAGGGGAGCTTAAGCACAAGCTCTCTCGCTGCCTGTAACAAGACCGCACGCATGTACCTCCCTGCGTCTGCGCATGGCACAGAAAAACTGCACTGTGGAACGCCTTACTACAAGCAAGTAGCTGCAGCAAAGAGTTTAGTCCTTTCCGGAGAGGGGTTCAATATCACTGTACCACGTTATCAGCAATTGTCAGGAGACTGTGTCAAACACTGCCTCCAACTGCCACCCCTTTTGTCCCTGGCTCCAACCGTGCAGCACCACTTGGTGAAAGTGGTGGGCTTCTCTCTCAAGTGGACGGTGGAAGTAAAAAGGTTGAGAACTCTTGGTCTAAACGGAATGTGCATTTCAGCCCAATAAACGGGGACAATATGACCTTTCCAGAAGTACAAAAGTAATTTTACAGGCTCTGTATTTAAGGGTCTTTGCCCTTACTTTCTAGACTTAACAGCACAAATTCTTAAGGACTTATGCATGTTTGGACACTAAAGAAAAAGTCGTTCAGGATGGTTACGTAGAACATTTTTTCCTGTTCAAACATGTAGTCATCTGGACTGTCATCTGAGTGGGATGGTGTAAATTGGTGACCCGCAACAGCACGGGGTTGGACCCGATGGCCTACTTGGCCCCTTCCAACTCCATGATTCTGTGTGTAGGATTGTGTCCTAATAGTCTTATGAGAGGCTCCTTCTTTGCTGTGTTTGGAGGGATAACGGACTCCGTCCCCAACCCTTGCCCCAAAGGTACCCCTGAAACCTTCCAACAGTCCGAATGGCCACAGTAAAATTGCATCTCGTACTTATTTATCTAGGAGTAATTCCAGTGAACTTAATTCTGAGTAGACACCTATAGGATTGCACTCTAAATATGCCAAGTCTTTCAAGCACCAGTACAGCGTATTGTGTGTTTTAATGTGTGTTTTGTACTCAGAAAAACAATTCTTACCATCCCACCTCACTGCCTTGCCATAAACACATCAAAAGATGCCTCGGTGTCTGGTGGTGAAGACCAGGTGACCCCACTCCATTGGTGGGTAACTGTCAAAGTGTAATCTCTGTGTTGTATAGGCTTGCTAAAGTGCCTCCCTAACCCTGTAAGTTCACACATGTAACCTTTTTGTTTACATAACTTGGCCAGCCTGTTCAAGGTAACTTTAGTTTAGAAGGCCTGCCAAAGGCATCTAATTAGAGTGAAATGTAACTTTTCTTAATGGTGCTGTGATGTGAATCCATTCATTTTCCTATCCATACAAAGTATCCAATCACCTTCCTGTGTATTGTATTCACTCCCCTTTTGTGTATTCTATACAACCCTAAGGAAATTAACATGGGGTGTTCCTACTTAGGCACCCATGGATCCATGCATTCAATTGTAAACAAACCTATTTGCCCTGACAAGAAACTGATTTCCGAGCCTCTGAATTGAGGATCGGTGTGACAGTTTTAATGAAGGAGAAACGGGCAATATGCGTGCATGTATTTTACACCGCAAGCGATAGTGCAATCTGAATGACTTCAGAGTGTGAATCTGTTTTGCATCAATCGGATTGGATTTAGAGAGGGTGGGCAGGCGTTCGTTCGTGGAGCATGATGGGAATTGAAGTCCTGTCGGTCTTTTTTCCTGGAGCTTGCCGGACTATGTTCCGAAACTAAACTACGTTTCCCATAAGCGAGTTCGCTGCCGCCGGGAGAAAAAGGAGAGGCATGTCCGGGTGATGGGAAGTTGAGCCCTTCCTCTCTGCCGGTCCCCGGCTCTTTTTGTGGCGACCGTATGGTCCGGGCGGGGGAGAAACCACCCGGTGGATTGAGGAGAGGGGGTGCTTTCGGCTTCCTTTCCCTCCCGCGCAGGAACTGATGGAAGCGGCGACGTGCGGGGCTTCTCGCCGAGCTTCAGCCGCAGCCTCCCTTGCATTGGCTCGCTTCCCTCTCCGCTTTTTCAGCCCACTACGCCCTGCAAACTGGGCCTGCCCTTCTTTAGTATTGCTCTCTCTTCGGTTTTTCCCCTCCCGCTCTCGCCTTTTCTTTTGATCGGTTGAGCTTCTCTGGTCTGGAATAGCCTTCGGAACTCCCCGCCTCGTGATTGCAAGGCTGAAGCCCTCGGCAGGGAGAGCAAGCGAAGCAGGCACCGTCGGGACACGGCGGATCGGCGTCGCTTCGCCTTCCTGCCTGCTCCAGTCGAGCCGCTTACCACTTGCGCCGAATTACCCTCTCCGTCCGCCCGCCGGCCAGCCAGCCGGCCGGCCCGTTCACTCTCTCGTGGCGAACCGCGATGTTGTCGTTTCCTCCACCCTCGTCCTTCACCCTGCGGTTAACCGCATCGAGCCGCGAAGACCGAAGCAAGCCCTGATCGTGACTGCGAAAATGTGGCAAAGCATTGGTCTGACGCTGCTGGTCATTGTGGCCACGCTGGTTTGCGTCCTGTTGTTCATGCTTTGTGGTGAGTCCGCTCCGCTGCCAAGGCCAAACCTTGGGCTTCTCTTTTCTGCTTTTACTTGACCCCCTCCCTGCGTCCTAGCAAAACCGTGGTGCTGTTAGCTTTAGTTTTGGCCCCTTCTCTTGGAGAGGCTTCTAGGCAGCAATTACCTTATAGTTTATTATGATGCTGTGATTATTATTTTATTGTTATCATGCTGTTTTCCAGTCCTATGCATGCACCTGACAACTTCCAGGTTTTGCAAAGCTAGCTTTGCAGGACTTGCGTGGCCTAACATAAAGCTGCACCCAAACTACTTTACCTGTTAGGGACAAGTGCATCAAGAAGAGGTCCACAAATAGATATATATATTTACACCTGTTGCTTTAACAGGCTGTGGAGGGGGGAGATGGTTGGAAACCCGTTACATTTGTTTGATGAGGGAAGTATATAAAGCAGCTTCCTCTTTAAAAAAAAATTATCTAAAGATGAAAATCTAACTCCTTGTGGAAAGATCACTGTTGCACAAGAAACCTAGAGAGGCAATGCTGAAAAAGCGGGATAGTGCGGAAAAGGCTTTTTGGTAGATTTTTTTCTTCTTGTCTGTCCCTCTCTTTGTACTTTGGTATTTAGCTAATAAACTGGTTTCAGTTTACATCAGGCAGAAAATCAAAATTAGCAAGTAAATATGTTTAAGATCTTGCTGCTACTCCATACTCTTAAGCTGATGGAATAAGTGCTAGGAAGTCTGGAAGAGAGGGATGAGATTTTAAGATGCCGTGGAAGTCAGCTAAATTTCCATTCTGAGGTCCAAAACTGCTAAGAAGGGTGCAAAGCAAAAGCTGTTCTAAAGTTCAGGTGCTAGCTTTTTAGTCTCCAGGCAACAGCCATAAGGCATTTCTGTTCGTGGTTGCACTTGATTTAAAGGCAGCACACAATTGGAATAAAATCAAATTCTTTAATGTCTGTACTTGCCACTGTGATTTTTTTTAGCACACAAGCTTCTGCAATCTGGTGTACTCTTTGGATGTTTTGGACTACAACTCCTAGCCTCCTAACCATTGGCCATGCCAGCTGGGGCAGTCCAAAGTCTCTGGAGGAAACCCAGTTCGAGAAAGTGATCTGAAACTTAAAAGTCTCAGCCTGGAAGCAAGTGATGGTTCTTAAGAAAGGAAGTTGAAGGTGTTGTGATGACTGGCATCCTGGCCAAGTGGCATGAACATTTATTTATTTCGTTCTGCTACTCATCTCCGGCCAAGCTGGTTTGAAGCACCGCATGGTGTATACAGCACCTTTGCAGCTGTAGCTCAGCAGCAGAAAGTTCCCATCCGGTCCCATGCTCCTGCAGTTAGAGGACCAGGTTGAAGGGAAGATCCTCTGCATGAACCCCCTGGCATCTGCCCAATAAGCTGTGCAGTGTGGACTCTTAGCAGAACAACCCACAGTACACTGGATAGACAATTGGGCTCACCGTGGGATTTTCCCCCTCCTTCCCCTTTGTCCCTCAGGTAGCATCTCAGTGTGCTTTTGGCAGAACTCATCTCCCCTTAATGACTCTGTTTGCTACTCCCTTTTGTCCATTGCTGCTTTTTTGGGAGGTTTCAGAGCCTCAAAAATACTCATTTGGGGCCGTATTTTTTCATTATTGTTTCAGTTCCAGAAAATTGCATAAATCTGGAGTGGGGGGTGTTTTTTGTTTTGTTTTGTTTTGCAAGGGGGATAGTCTTTCTCAGGTGTGCAGGAGTGCTTTGTGGCTCTCAGATATATGTAGTTTTGGCCGGTCAATTTTCTTGTATGTTGCAATTATCAAAGAGAATAGCATGTGGAGCAGGTAACATGCATGGAAATTGACAAGACAATCCTGCTCATAGGCTAATATGCACATAATTGCAAAGTCATCAGTTGAAAAGTACTGATAAAGTGGTGGGAGCACAAAAATAGATGTATCAAAAGGGGAATTGGGACAATATCACCCTCTTAGCAATGTATTACTGTGATTTTAAGTGCTGAATCGATACTTCTCTATGGTTTCTACCTCTTTGGCACTTCCCAAATGTTGAACCACTCCAGAAAAGAGAGCTATTGCCCGCCCCCCTTCTGTTTGGGGCTTCCTTGCCAGACTGTTTCCTGCTGGCAACTGCTTTGGTTCACTGCACTGACACCCCACATCACTTGCCTCCCCGCCATGCACAGACATGTTGCTCTTCTGTGAGTTCTGGACGAAAGCTCTAGAATTAAAACGGGTCCTCTTGACTGAATACTGCACACTGTGTCTTTGAAATCCAGCCGATGTGCAGTGTACTGCAGTAGTCCTGTCTGGATGCAATTAGAGCAGGCCTAACCCAGTTGGGTCTCTGCAGCAGCAGCAAAAATTGGTGAGAGTACTACTGGTTACTGCCTCCACCTGTGCTTAGTCAGCTATGAACCCCAAAGGACCCCCAAACTACTGACTTGGTCTTTCAGTTAGCAACTCCATCCAATATCAGTTGATCAAAGTATCACCCCAGCAATTTTGGGAAAAAACCCTGCTTTAAACATACTGCAATCCTTAAGCTTTCTCTGTCTGTCAATTGTACTGGCACAACCTCTGCTTGTCTGTAATCTTTGTAGGCTTGGGCCTCACCATTTATGGTCAGAGTAACCCCAACCTCTCTGGTACTTTCTGTAGGTTGGTACGTGGTCTGGCATCTCTTCTTGTCCAAGTTCAAGTTCTTACGTGAGCTGATAGGAGACACAGGATCCCAACAGGGGGATAATGAAGTCGCTGAACCTGATGGGGAACAAGATGTGCCACCCACTCCACAGAGGAGCAGGCAGAAATCAATACGGCAGCGTCGGACACCTGCTGAGGAAGCGACTTAGGATGGAATCAAAGGATAATCCTCACACGACTGGTGGGCAACACCTCTGTGGTCAAATGGCTTGGTTCCACTGATATGCCAAATGAGGAAAACCAGGCGACTTCTGAAAGGTTTGGGCCCCTTTTCCTGGGGAACAAAGTGGGACCAGGAAAAAGACCACTGGCAGAAGGAAATGCTTCCTCCATGTTCTGCTTGGAGTTTGCAGAGAATTGTGCTGCGTTATCTTTTCTTTGAAGATTTGGCCTCGCTTTTGCTCCAGTGGAAACATGATCAGCTTTTCAGTGCTGAAGTGGTTACTGCCTTGACGAAACTGCAACCAACTGCAGACATGTATTGCTTGAGCCTTATCTATGGATGCAGTAATATTCTAGGGAAATGCTCTATAAAGGTACCTCTCCTGCAGCCGAAAATCACTGTTAGACTCTTGTGAAGGCTTTAACAACTGAATCAAAGCATATTCGAGTACTTGACTTCAAGACACAACAGCTTCTAGATGTTTAAAAAACCTAAACATCTTGCCAGACTAGTGGGTTAAACATCAAATCCGGTTTTTCCTAACAGACTCGAGAAGAAGGAACATTTGTTACAAACCCTTATCCAGGGTCCTTTAACAGGAACTGGATTTTTATTTTGTTTTCTTATTTGCATTCTTTGCACCAAAAACCAGTTCAGCCCAGTTACAGTCTCACCATATTGCAGCATGCAGTGTTGAGATGTTGTCCGTGGGGTTCCTAGCTTAAACTCTATGTTTAGCAAATTCTTTTACTTTGTTTTCTGTCTCAAGCAATACTGAAAGTAGCATTGAACTAAGCTGAGAACCCGCTAATGACTTCAGACTAGTGATAAGTAAGGATCGAGGACAACACCTTCCAGACATTCAAGTGGCTGATTTATTTGTGGACTCCAGGAGGTATCTTGTTGAATTTCGCTGTGATGTCTTTGTTTGACTCCCTGCCTTGCACTTTTGTTTGGCACGGACTACAAAAAACTGTTATAACTCTTCATAGCAGTGCAAAGCAAGCTGTCCAGATGACTACATCTATAGATTAGCCATTTTGGACTGCAACTTATTAGAATAAGCTTTAGAGTCTTCTGTATGGCTGAAGAGCCTTTTGTTTGGTTTTTGTTCTTTTTCTCTCTGGAAACTTTTAGAAAGAAAAAAGCTGAATGGCTTCTGTGGATTTGAAGATACAGTATTTACAAACTCATAAATGGCTTATATTCTGCCTTTTCTGATGTTTGGGCATTCAGATTCACATGGTATTTGCTTGAAAGCTGCTTTTTGTTTTTAATTAATGGAGCATGTAGTGAACATGGCATGTAAGGTCTGTTTTCTGTGTTACACAACAACATACCTGGGGTTGCACACTTAAAAACTAATTTGTACAGTGGCTCTTAGTCCCTAAATCCGAAGACGCCATGAATGGAAAGCCTTCTGGATTTATAAGATACCTACTGCAGGGTTCTTGTAGGTGGATGTGCTAGAGGGAAATACTTGAAAGTAAATAATACAAATTGTTTTCAGATTATTTGGCTTCATTTCTCCCCCACATAGCACACATACATAAATGTTTGCCTTATAGAATTTATGTAATAATTGTCTACTTGATAATGTCAGGGATATTTTTAATACAATATAATGCAACGCTTTTTTGAGTGCCATTTGTGTTCATGAAAACCAGTGATGTTTCACTGGACATTTCAGCTGCCCCTGCTGATTTTTGAAATCCTAATCCAATTTCTGACTTATGATTTTTCTTAATAGGTTTCCTGGTATGGTCTTAATTACAGAAGGCACAAAATATATTCTGCTAAAGAAACAGAGGGGCTTCATGCAACCTGCTGCAGCTGGGTGAAATGTCCATATCAAATAATCTGTGCTATTGGAAAACTACTAGTTGTTTAGTTGTCTCGAAGATCTAGTTTCAAAATCTTTTTGTGGGAGTGAGAAAGCCGAAATCTTAGCACTGCAGGGAGGTAACATTTAAAGCAAAGAAGCTCAGGTTTGCATTAAAGAATATTTTGTAACCTGCCCACAGAGCCATTTCAGCTAAGAAATTTAAGGCAGGCAGGCAGGCTTAGGGGAAACCTAAATAGAACTCTTTAAGGGGGGAGGTTTTCTGAATGTACCATTCAGCAAGGTGGATAGAGGGCCAAATTGTTTTCCTTCCTTTGTGCAATTAACTGGTCCTTGAGAAGGGAAGCCAGAAAGTCGCTTCTTCCTGACATTGCTTAAAAAAACCCCCAGCCAATGTGGTCCCATGAGTATGTTGTCATTTTGGTACCAAGAACGCTACATCTGCAAACAGCATAGCACACTTACAGGTATGTTTTCATGCTGTATGCTTGGTCTAGCAACAAATTGCTTCTGTATTATAAAGTCAGTCAGGGAGCAATCCTATGGCTGCTAGACATCGAGGGACAAGGGGTTACGAGGGATTCCCCTCTCTAAGGCTGGAGAAAGTGCTCTGAGATCGGAGTTTTGGAGAATTAGAGATCTGACCTCCGCCCCTTCACAGCCAGCTTGGAAAAGTCCATGTTGGATGCCTTCTAACACTGGAAAATAACCCAGGAGAGGGGAAGAGGGAGGACTTTAGTGTGCAGGGAAGGGAGGAGACCTGGGAGGCCAGGATATGAGCTGCCCTGACCCAGTTCTAGCCTGCCTCCCTCCCACTCCAAAGTATTACTGTTAGATGGGCTAAAAAGCTCATTTAGCAAAATATTCAGGGTGGAAGGATGTGGGGGCAAAGATCCCTCGGCCATTTCTGCCATCCTTCATTGGATTTTCAGAAGTCCCCAAGTCCATAGGTTTCCAATCATTAAAGGGGTGGCTGATAGAACTGCACCCACCCTCAGTTACCAGTGGAAAACTCTTGTCCCACTTACATGTCTCCCAGTCCTCCTTCAACATTATGAACAGTTTGCAAGAGAGTATGCGAGCCACGCCACCTATCAATTTTATAGATTTATCCTGCAATAAAAAATCAGAACTGAACTTTTGGCTGGAGCTATGGAAAAAGCAGAGAGAAGCTCCTCAGGGCTTTCTCTGCACTGGTTCTGGGGTGCTGGTCCTTGGGCCAAAGGCTTTCTTTCTTGACAAAAGAATTCGGGGGGGGGGCATGCACAGAGTACCCTTGTCGTCCTATTGTATCATGCCTTGAGAAGGCTAAGCTTTAAATGGATAGCTGTTTTCTCACTGATTCTTGTTTCCTCTGTCCCATAAATAGCCCATGACAGAAGAGAACAGTTTGCAAGGATGGTGAATTGAAGTAGAGGAACTGGTGTGAGCTATTTAGCTTCTGAAATACTAAGATAACATCTTGGTACCAAACTAAAATAGTGGCAGTTTGATCCAGATGCAAGGAATTCCTCTTTAATACAATCTTGCATTTAGTAAAACTCTCACCCCTCCTATGTCTAATTCTCAAAAAAAGTAGTTGCTTATGTACTTCTACAAATGTGTCACAGTTTACCTTGAAAAGCAGAACTGACCAAATAACGGGTCCAAAGGATGATGGTGGTGAGATGCAGCTATTTTTTTTTTTTTTTTGCTGAAAGACTACTTGGGGTTGGACCAATCATGTAATGTATGCAGTGAGGGCAGCTCATAGTTGCAAGGTTGGTTAAGACAGACTGTTGTACAGTTTGGTTAAAAGGTGGTTGTTGGTCTGATGTTCCAAGGAGAAATGTTTATCTTTGAACAAGTTATACCTCCAAGTTGTAGTATGCAGCACCACCCCCTGCCCCACTGTGTTCAGTGATGCTCTTAGGTAAGAGTGGATAGGATCGCAGCCCTGGGCTAAGACAAAGTATCTTAATGCAAAATGTTTTTATGCAGGAACCGGATGGAATCTGTGTGTAGATTGCCACTTGCAACGGTGGTGCCAGGTGTTTGACCGAATGTATGGTGTGAAAGAAGTTTGTGCAGACAATGCCTGTCTTGGTCAAGTGCAGGTTGCATGTTTTCTGTTTTGCAAGTTGGAGTTTTGCCATTCTAGGGATTGCTTTTAGCCACAGGCTATTCCATTTGGAACCTTTCTGAAACAAATGACCATGTCTCTGAAATGCTTTAGTAGTTGCTAAGCACTTCAAACTTTAAAATATGGGTAGATAGGACGCAGACTTAGATGAAATGAAATCAATAAAATTGAATGTTTTCAGTGGGCCTGCTCAAAGTATGACTAAGAGTGCAATCCTGCACATGTATAGAGGGAGAAAAAGACCTACAGCTCCTAGCAAGTCTGCACTGGGAGTTGTAGCACTTTTTTCTGACTAATTGTGCCCTAAAATCTCTTTTCTGTCTATGGTAAAATCCGAATCCATCCTATAGAAAAAGTCGAGTTCTTTGTTTTTGCATTTGTTTTCCCTTGTGGCATTGCAATCATTTTAGTGAATGTGGGCTTGCATAGATTTACCTGCTAGCTGTTTGGAAAAACAAAGCGAGCCATGCAGTTGCCCACTGAATATGAAGTGAGAGAGAAAAGCTGCTGCGTATACAAGAACAAGCACATAATCCAGTCAACTACATTTAAAACTGGGAGAAAGATTGGGATGGTGTATTCTTGTAGATTTCTTTTTCTGTGAAGATCACGTTTTAGATCCATTTGCTTGCACATGCACTGATATTTCTGCTGCAGGTGACCCAGGGGAAGTTGTACCAGAGAACTACTGAGTGGCATTTTCAAATCAGTGACACATTCTTGACCATTCATTCGCAGAGCACTGTCCTTGCAGGCACATATATGAGGTGCAGCACACTACATAATGTGGGGTTTAAAGTGAGCTTATTGTATGCCTACATGTGCTCATATATTGGTCATGTCTAGCCGTGTCCATAACTGACAACTGCATTGAATGAAACTTCTGCTCTTCATCTGTGTTCAGTGGTTTAAAGAAATACTGTACCAAATGCCTCTGTAACTTTGGTATTCATCATGTTTACAATTGTTTCTGTCCATTCTCCACTCAAGCCAACACTAACAACTTGGCAAATAAAATGTAAATAATTCAGCTTGATGCAGGTGGCTATATTGTTTATCTTGTATCTGAATGTTTGGTACATGTGTGTGTTTAATTTATAGCATGCCCAGTTCTGAAAGTGTAGATTGTGTAACAAAAATCTCTAGCAAACAGGATAAAATCAGTTGTGGTTTTGTTAAGGGATGAAAAATTTACTCCCTCATGTTGACTTTTTAAGTCTGAGCACACAGCTAGTTTGTTTTAGCAATGCTTACAAATTTTGTTCTGAAGTGGAAGTTAAAGCATGTTTCGGATATAAAATAACAGCAGCCTAGATTGGGGGTAGGCCACCTAGTGCCAGCAGATGATTTGGATTTCAGTTCCTATCATCCTCAGCCAACAGAGCCAAGGGACTGGAAGACTGAGAGTTGTACTCCCAGACTTCTAAAGGGCCTGAAGTTAAGGAAGGCCGCTGTTGACAAAGTGGTCATTCCACAACACATCTACTTTGTAGTACATTGAACTGCGATCTAAGGTGTCTTATCAACCTTGCCCAAACAGTGCTTTCCAGATGTTTTGGGCTACAGTTCTTGGCTTTCCTTGACATTAGTCATGCCAGCCGTTCCAGATGGAAGTTGGAAATTTAAAGCATCAGGAAGGCCAGTACATTATATATCTTTAGTCCAAGGGGGCTAGAACTTAAACTAGCATGTTGATTTTTTCCCCAGACAGTTTATTATTTATTTATTTATAATATTGATTTAAGTTCATGGTTTTCATGCATGTGTTACATTTGTATCACACCCAACTGGCAAATTTCCTCAGGACAGTTTACAAGCATAAAGCCAAACAACAAATAACACCAACATGCAAAAACATTAAACATTGGAAGTGCTTAAAACATCAAGAGCTCGTGCTGCTGTTTTAAGACAAGTGTAATACATTTGGCTCACCCAGTTTTGGTCAACATCTGGCCTTTAAAAACAAAACAAAAACAGAGGTTAGGTGCAGCGGTCTGCTTTCCTGAGCAATGACTTTGCTTCACAGTAAGAACTGAATTCATAGTGTAACAGAAGCAGCATCTCTTTATACGGTGGGGTTGGGGGTTAGTCCTGGAAATTGGGACTATACATTCCTTTCTTGAGGTGTTGGTGAATATACTGCTGGCCAACAGGGTGAGGTAGCGGAAAAGAACAATTTGCATCCCAAGAGGTATTGAAGACCAGGAATCGGAACTTGTGAAAGCACCACCTTGGTCAGACCCACGGCTTGAAAAACTTTGACAAAGACAGGCGGGAGGGCTGCATCTCAGCCTTGCCATGCTGAAGGTGCCTGGCTCAATCCCAGCATGCTCAGGTAGGGCTGGAAAAACTCTTGCCTGAAGCCCTGCAGAGCTGCTGTCAGTCAGTGCTGACAATACTGGACTAGATGGAGCAAGGATCTGACCCAGTGTAAGGTAGCCTTCCATGTTCCTGACCCAATTTTTCCATAGGCCAAATCAGTACTAAATATCCCCTCCAACCAGCCGCCTTCAAATCACCATCTTCACCATTATCACTCTATCCTACTATCCAAAAAGCGCAATTCTGAAGCACTAAAGGAAAACAAATCTCAATTATCACTCCTTTCAATTGTCCGTTATTAACCCAATGCTGTCTCAAGCCTTTTCTATGAGTAGATTTTAACAGAATCCTTCCAGAAGGTTTACTACTAACAAGCCCCAACCATTTTAGTAGGAAAGCAACCTGGATGATACAAACTTTGAGAGTTATACCTTAATACAAAAAAAGTGCAATTTTGCATAGTTGATTAAATTTATCTTCTATAGTTACAGCCAGGAAAAATAATGTCATGTATTAGGTCCTTAATTGCTTGATGAGTAGACCCACTGAAATCCATGAAACTTTGGTTAGTCATTTCAGGGGGTTTGGTCTGAGCAGTACTATATCTGGATCTTACCCGTGCAAGAGCCACTGAATGCTGCTTTAAAGTATGCGTACTGTTCCTCTGTTAACTCTGAAACATTATTTGTGGAGCAGATTGGTTTGGTTTCGCAGTCTAGATTTCTCTAATGCTGAACTGGAATGTGTGGTTTAGAAGCCTTGTGCAGCCCTAGACTTTGGGAGGAAGTGGGCATAACGGTGAGGATAAATGAAAGGAGACTATCATGGCTTATAAAGCAACCCAGCAAGTAGGTATCTTATGCCTCCCCCACCCCACAAGAGCTCAGGGCCCTCCCATGATTTTTCTTGACAAAAGGGACATTACAACCACAAAACCACCCTTAGATAGATAGACTTGACAGCTTGGAACAAAGGTAAGTTTAATCTGAGTTTTATTGAGATATCAAAAATTTAATTGAATTTAATTTGAGATATACCCCCATTAACAATGTGTCTGTATTTTAGAAACTTCAGTAAGGAGTTGTGAACTGATAAGTGGCAACTGTGTAAAACAAAATTCAAGAAGGTAGAAGTCCCCATTCAGCCACAATGGATGCTTTTTTGTTTATTTTTGTACCTCCCTAAAGCCAAAGTATTGTATTTTATTGTGTTGTAAGCCGCCCCGAGGCTTTGGCAAGGGGCAGCATAGAAATGTAGTAGTAGTAGTAGTAGTAGTAGTAGTAGTAGTAGTAGTAGTAGTAATAATAATAATAATAATAATAATAATAATAATAATAATAATAATAAGTGTTCTGGGCAATTTACAGCAGCTCATAATGAATACAACATAAAATACAGGTAACCACAAAAATTAAAAAAACAGATTTAACCCCCAAATTTCAGCAACAGAACCTGTTAATCCTCTAACATAATGCTTCCATATACTAAGAGGTACAAAAATTAACATAATTAGCATAACATAACATTGGAGGATTAACATAATGCCTCCAAGCAGGCAAGCTGTGAAGTGCCTTGGCGTGGAAGGCAGTGTTCTGAGGGAAAAGCCCTCCTTTCCTGGGGGCAAGGAGAAAGTCCATTCAAAGTACAATTTAGTTTTGAATTTCTTGTTTCATACCAGAGCTGTTCTAATGACAAGAACTTTTGTGCCAGTGGTTCACCACAAGGTGGCATCTTTCAACCAAGTTTAGCCCTACTGTGAGGGATGCCAGCTCTCAAAAATGTAGTGCTTTTTTTAAACCCAGAAAATGCTGTTGTCAACATTTCTGCCATCTATTAAAAATCGACACTGTGCTAATTATAGGTACAGCATATCTCTTTTGGGCTAAGAGAACGGAAGACAACACCACGAAGGGATTTGAAAGTGAACTCCATATTTGCTTCCTCAGAAGGCCTTCGATTACTTCGGCCACTGATGAGGCACCCATCCAACATCTGTAGTTAAAGAAGGAATACAATTTTTCAAGCAAAATGGGAATTCTTTTTCAGCTGTTCTTGCAATAGAGAAGATCACTGCTAAGGATGTATCAAGATTTTTTAAACTTCATGCTCTCATAGCCTTTGGACTTAGCATTTATGGCAGTTGTGAAGGGAAAAGCAATCTCAGACTACTGGAAACACTTCTTGGAGTGGTGTGATCTTTCCAGAATCAAAATGTCATGGGCTGAACAGCAAAAACATGGATCAGGTTCAAAATGAAGAATGAAAATTTGGCTTCAGCTTAAAAAGTGCTTGCTCATGGACCCAAGATGGGGGGGGGGGTCTTCTGCCCCATACTTGTTACACAGCTCTGTGCCACATGCCATGGCATTCCAGACGTTCCTCCAACAGGGCAACCCAAGGCACTTTAAAGATGGTGTTTCCCCATTGCCCATTCCATGCACAGAAGCCAACCAGATTGGAAGTTGGCTCTTAGGTGGATGACTGTGCTTGACTGTATTTGAGGGCAGCCAGTTGTTTAAGGAGAGCAGGGCACTGTGCCTTGCCCAGGTTGCTTTCTTCCCTTGCATCCCACTGTATCTGCCTGTGGAGGCTTTCTATGGAAAGATAGTTCTGGCCCTGTGGTGGTGTGAAAGAGGATACAGTGGGAAGGAGGCGGGAAAGCTGTGATCCATAGTGGATCATAGACTCACAGACTTTAGGATCCCAAACGACTGTACTTTTCTTCACACCCATTAACTCTAATCAAAACTGAATTTATTTTCCTACAGCTGATTCAGGGACATAGAGAGCCACATCCCTGAATCATTATGACAAGTTCCTAAATCAGGAGAAGCTGTTTTATGTCATTTTTTGTTTTAAGATTTTAACTTTGTAAACTAACCTGGGTACCTTGTCAAAAAAAGGATTATATTAATTGAAGAAATAAAGGAATGTTGTTGTTGTTAGTCGTGAAGTCGTGTCCAACCCATCACGACTCCATGGACAACATTCCTCCAGGCCTTCCTGTCCTCCACCATCCCCTGGAGTCTACTCAAGTTCACACCGACTGCTTCAGTGACCCCATCCAGCCACCTCATTCTCTGCCGTCCCCTTCTTCTTTTGCCATCTATTGTTTCCAGCATTAGGCTCTTCTCCAGGGAGTCCTTCCTTCTCATTAGGTGGCCAAAGTATTTGAGTTTCACCTTCAGTATCTGGCCTTCTAAAGAGCAGTCAGGGTTGATCTCCTCTAGGACTGACCAGTTTGATCGCCTTGCGGTCCAAGGGACTCACAGGAGTCTCCTCCAGCACCACAATTCAAAGGCCTCAATCCTTTGGCGCTCGGCCTTCCTTATGGTCCAGTTTTCACAGCCATGCATTGCAACTGAGAAAACCATAGCCTTGACTATATGCACTTTTGTTGGCAGGGTGATGTCTCTGCTTTTTAGTATGCTATCTAGATTTGCCATAGCTTTCCTCCCCAGGAGCAAGCATCTTTTAATTTCTTGGCTGCAGTCCCCAGCCAAGAATGGTTATCAGGGACGTTAAGCTCTTTCTTGTATAGTTCTTCTGTGTAATCTTGCCACCCCTTCTTAATCTCTTCTGCCTCTGTCAGGTCCCTGCCATTTTGGTCCTTTAACATGCCCATCTTTGCATGAAACGTTCCCTTCATATCTCCAATTTTCTTGAAGAGATCTCTGGTCCTCCCTATTCTATTGTTTTCTTCTATTT